ATCTACTTTATACTTTCTAAAGCCTGTATATAGTTACGGACAGCTATGTATTACTGTCCTAAGAACTCACAGACCTCGGTAAGTACTGTACCTGAAAATGAGGCCATGACTTGTCCTTACAGTGCAATTCATGAATATGTAAATGAGGGAATGATGCAAGCCTTGATTTTTGAGAAAACAACTATTCAGATCGGTTAGGCCTGGATAATGTAACGTTCATACCCAACGGGTTTCTTTGCTCCTAGTCTCTCCCTGCTCTAATCCAGATGGCTTGGGGAGGGACCTTGCCTCGAGTTTTGCTACTCAAGGTGGGGTCCGTGGACAGTGGTGGCACCATCGCCTGGGAGCTTGTTGGATGTGTAGGATCTCAGGTCTTGCCCCACACCTACTGGTTCAGAGCCTGCATTTTAACAAGGTTCCAGGCAATTTGGGCGCACATGACAGTGTAGAAAGCACTGAGAGCTTTAACACAAACCTGACTATGCCTTTCCCCAGCTATCAACCCTTCTAAGGCTGCTACTGTCTCAGGGACATAACCTAAGCTCTTGGCCTGACATTCAAGGCGATCGACGACTCAACCTCCATCTACCTTTCTACCTGACATCCCAACTCTTGCCCTCATATGCCACACCCCAGCCACACCTAACCCTTCATGGCATCCGAGTCCTGCCCTCTGAGCTTTTGCTTAGGTGGATGATTCTGCCATGGCCATGCTTCCTCTATGTATCCAGACAGCCGACTTCGACAGTCAGCTTGACCTCCATCTCCACTACAAAGCCTGTTTGATGAAATCCGGACAAAAAGTAATCTCCACAGTGCCCTAATCTCCACAAGGCTGTGTCTAGACCCCCAAGGGAACTTTGTACTTTTTACTTCTTTACCCTTAAGTTGTTACTTATGTATAGGTAGCTTATAAAAAGTCACCTGAAGTATAAAATCTTACCCGATAAACCTTGCCCATGTTCTACAGTGGGGACTCAATAAATAGCTTATCAGATGCTCGGATCTATGGACATACATATGAATACATGAACAAATGAGAATATTAGTACATATATGTACATGCCATGCATCAAAAAACGAAAGCAATCCTTGAATTTATGGTATTCGTTCTAAGTTGTATTCAGGTTGCTACCCTAAAAGTTCTTAAAAGGGCACTTCTGGAAAAAAAGACTTCTAACTCACACAAACATTTAGCTACATCTGAGGTAGCTCAGGGCAGCAATAACATTTTCATACTAACAAATTTATTGTAGTTGTACAAGTTGAGCAAGTTTCCAGCACAGGGCAAGAAGCTTTATTTAAAAGGAGTAAATTATGGTCTTTTCTGCAGTTAAATTTTTCACCAACGTGAAATGAATAAACTCCTTCTGGAAATTACTCTTATGAAATTACTTCTTCCAGGACACTTCAGAGTATATTCTGGTGCCCCTGAAAAATTAATTAACCTTACCTGTAACAACCTAACCCCTAAACCATTTGTGGTGTTTTTACTGTGGGTCAGGTTAATCTTCTCTACCTTAATTTACATCTAAGTGAGGGTGGTCTAAATTACACTGGGGCCTTTTGGTCGCTGGTACTTTGCCTTGTGCCATTTCCTCAGATGACATTCTGCTCATGTCCAAACGTGTGAATCTTTTTTAAAATGGCAAACCTCTGAGATTACCAGGGAGAACTTTGCAACCTTTTTGGGGGCACAGGGGGAGGGGAGAACACTGCTGCCATCTTTAGAGGTCAAAACACAGCAGCAAGCGGGGGATGGGCAAGGCTGTAGTTCTATTGTTTGGTCCTACCAGGGATGTATTTTTTTTCTGAGAAAGTCTGGATTTTCAGAGCCTCGGGACCATAAAGATATAGGGACCAGGCTCCACCTGGGATTAGATTATGGGTCAACAGCAAGATTTATCAGTCCTCTCCTCCCTTTTGTTATCCAAAAGATATCTAAAAAGTATACTCCAGTGCTTATCAGGAGACAAAGAAAAGTTATTGAAAACGTCACAACTGTTGATCTGTAGACCTAGGGCATCTGCTACTTGCTGGGGGAACAAAACTCTTCCTTTACCTCTGTGATTCTGGAATGTTAACTCTTCAGCTGCGAGAGTTTTCCTTTTCCTTTGAGAACAGACACAGAGCATTGCCATTTCCATAAAAGAAGGATTTTTGAGCTCAGCACGGGAAAATATTATTGAAAATAATAGTAATTATTCTGTGCTGCTTTACAAAACAGAATTAGTACCATTAATGTGTATTAATAACAAAACACATATCAATAATGATGAGGCAATCAACTGATACAAACGCATTATGACACAAATAGTACGGCAAGAAGAAATATTTTCTCGAAAAGATGAAGAAAAAGTAGCTCTTTGTAGAAAGAGTGTTCGTCTCCTAAAAATGTGTCACTCTCCCACACTGGCCCAAAGGGGACATTCGTCTTCTTTTGTTAACTGATCTCTGACGGGCTTTGTCCTCCCAAGCGTGAGCTTCTTTCAGTTGGAATTAATCAGAGATGCGGCGGTGATGAGACCATCCCAGCCGCTGCCAGCCACTACATAAATGCTTCCTTGTTCCCACCCGCACTGGCGAAGGACAGAGTTGGAACAATGAGAGCTAATGATGGAACTCTGGAAGCTATCATTTCGAATCAGGCCATTACTTATGCTACCCTTGTGAAAATCAAGCCAGGCTCATGTTCCGTTTCAGCTCAGGGGGCCCTGGGTCCACCCAGGGGCTAAACAAGCTCAGAGCAGACAGAGGCCTTGGGTCTCCACGTGGACACTGGATGCTGGCACGGAATGCCCACTGGCCAAGGCATGTTCCAGACTGCGTGGTGGGCCATGGTGTGTTACAGGCCAGGCTTGCAAAGAGCCACATGCTGCTGGCTGGAAAGACCCAGGCTTGCCTTTGGCCAGTGTGAAACCCACCTGAGTCAGGCGCTCCCTCTAAGAATTCTCCCTGCATATGCTTGGGGATCCCCTCTATTGAAATCCCAGATCTGTCCTATTCTTACCATTACTTACTGTGAGGGACTGAGACAAGCGTCAAAACATAGCTGTACAGATGCATGAGTGAGCCTTGCTGAGGCCAGCTCAGATCAGCAGAACTGCTCGTCAGATCCCAAGACTCATGATAAATAATGCATAGTAGTTGCTTTTAGTTCTAAGTTTTGGGGTGGTTTGTTACACAATGGTAGCAACAGATTTAACTAGTTAGTACAATTTGATACAAGCAAAGTTGTTACGTCAGATAATCATCAGGTTAGAAAGAGGGTAGGCCAGGTTGCAGGGTTGCGATTTTAAGTGGGAGACAGTTGGGAGCCACTAGAGATTTCTGAGCAGGGTACACACATGTTGGAAAGTAGTGCTCCAGAAGCTTTATCCTGCAGCAGCAGGGGGAAGATGGGAATGACGTAGGGAGAGTCTAGAAGACAGGAAACACGGCACCAAGCCGTGCCGAGGAAGTAAAGAGGGCTGAGCTAAAGCCAGAGGGGGTAGGAATGGAGGTGTGAGAAACTCTGAAGAAAGAGCGGCCACAGAGCCGATATGGATGGGGAAGGAAAGTTGACAGTGGTCGATGATGACTCAAGGTAGCTGGGTAGCTGAGAAAGTGAAAAAAAAAAAGGGAAGAAGCATGGAGAATTGGTGATGTCATACTTGAGAAGTCCACAAAATATTTAGGTGGTAAAGTTTGCACTTTGGGAAATAAGGGACTGTAGCTCTGCAGATGGCACCCAGTGGGGGAAAAATATTTCGAGAATATTTTCACAGAGGTGATGGTTGCAAGCATGACTCAGAGCAAGGGAGGATGGAGAGAAAATACAGAAATCAAGCAAAGAACCTTGGCACCTGCATGCTGGGCATATTAGTTACCCACTGCTGGGCCGCAAGTTACCTCAAAACTTAGCAGCTGGAGACTCAGGAGCCTGGGAGAAGTTTATCTGGGTGGTTCTCACTAGTGGTCGCTCATGAAATTGTCATCAAAATGTTAACTAGGGCAGCTATCATCTGAAGGCTTGACCAGGGCTGGAGAATCTGCTTCCAAGATGGCACACCCAAATGGCTGGTGACTAGAAGGCCTCAGTTCCAGACCACACGAACAGCATGTGGGACTGCTTGGGTATCCTCAAGACATGGCAGCTGGCTTCCTCCAGAGAGAATGACCCAAGACAGAGAGAGCAAGGAAGATCCCATATATCTTTTCTGACCTAGCCTAGGAAGTCACATACTATCACTTGTGCTGTATTCTATTAGTCACACAGATGAACCCTGATACAATGTGGAGAGGAATATACAAGGGCATGAATACCAGGAAGTGGGGATCATTTGGGGCCATACTGGAAGCTGGCAATCACACTGGGGGGTAGAAAAAGAAGACAAACAAAACTTAGAAAGGTGAGGGATAGTTTAGCTGGGGAAACAAGACTGTCACGTGGGAAGACAGATTCCTCTCACACTTGCGGGCTCCTCTGGCACCTAAATGGGCCTGTGATCTCCTTCAAAACACTCTGCCTCCAGAAAGTGTGCCTGGTAGAGGAGAAGCTTTTATTCTCCTTTCAACTAACTCCCAGACCACTTCCGCTGTGCCCGGCAATGCGTTGAGATCTCCCCAAAGTTGGCACCATCATCTTGCCAGTTTACAGGTAAGGAGACATGCAGAAGTTACTAGTCCAAAATCTCAGAGCCAACACAATGTGGGGGTGGACTATGAGCCTGAGCTGTTCAACTCCTGAGCCCTTTCTCTTAACCTCTATGTCACTGTGCTGAGCACAGAGGCCTGCACTCTTCTGCTGGAAGCCCCAAACAACACAAACCCATATGAGCAACAAGAGGAAATGCAAGGGATGACCCCACAGTGGCCCAGAAGCTACAGGAAGGAGCTGAAGTCCACTGAGCCCTGCCTCCGTGCCAGGCACAGGTCAGGCAGAGACAGAGAAATATTTTTCCCCCACTGGATGCCAGAGAGACAGAGAAGACAGAGAAATCAAGAAATCATGTGCTTACCGTCCTCGGAATTTGCTTTGTTCTCAGTGGGCTGCTCGATGAACTTCAGCAGTGGGGATCTTGATCTCTGTATGGTGGGAAGAGCAGGGTCACTGAACAGTATGGTGTCCTTGCCCCCTGTCATGGAAAAGGGGAACATGGACATGTTATGTCACCAGCGGAGTTGTGGTTATGTTCGCCCCACACAATGGACTGGCTGTTTAGGTGAATGAGGCACTTTCTTTAATCATAGGTAACGCTGTGGAAGGGCAATGGCCAGATGGCCCTTTCTGTAGTGTGAGGACCAGGCAGTGAGGTCCAGGGCCAGTCTGTGAGTCTGCTCAGGACATGGCTGCCCACAAATGCCACCATGAAGGAGCAGCCTGGTATGTTGGCCAAAAACCGAATGGCTTTAATCTGGGTGAGAAGAGAACAGGCATAACCACAGCAGAGGGCTGAGGAGTGCTGGCTTTGGAGCCACACAACAGGGTTTGTGTTCTGGACTCCATCCCTTGCTAGCTGGCTGACCTCAGGCAAGTCACTCAGCCTCAGAGCCCTCATCTGTAAAATGAGGAAGAAGAACGGCACCTACCTCATTGGGCGGTGGTGATGAAATGAACCGATTCAGGTAAAGCCCTTAAGCATTTCACTAGTGCTCAATAAATGTCATATACTGAAATTATTATCTTGCGGTGTAGACAGCACTGCCATATGCTACCTTTGACTTAATTCAATGTGGTCACTTAGACTGAGTAATGACTCTGTCATAAGGAGGGTAGTCTCAGATCCCCCAAATTGTCACAGCTAAACTTTCACTTAGAACATATAGTCCCCTACCAGCCAAACCCTTGTATCTATTTGTATGAACTCCCCCAGTGGATGGAGAGGTTGAGGGAAAGAAGACCATTACCACTCTATTGTGGAGCCCATGGCAAGTCAGGAACAGGAAGCGTGGCTCTGAAACGTGAGCATCGTGACCACAGACACACAGGCACAGAACATGTGGACATAAAGGGAATGCTGCCCAGTGGTCAGGAGGGAACAACAGGCAGGATTTGACCCCAAACTTCTGCCCACGAGGCCTTGGGATTCCCTCGGTGGGAACTGCAGTGCCCAAAATGAAAACCCCAGGGCTGTGGGCCAAGCCTAGGCTCCAGCCTTAGCCGTCTAACTTTGAGCAAGACCTACTCTAAAGCCAAGCCCCTAATCTCTCTGGGGCTCAAATTAGGGGCCCCGAAGCCCTGTGATTTTACTCGGCTTCAGGTTCAGTGGACACAGAATGGTATTTCAGTAAAGATGTTCCCGCCTTCAGAGAACCAGGTGAACCTTGGGACTGTACCTCTGAGCCCTCAGTTTGTTCCCAATACTGTCTTCCCGTTAGGGAGCTTCATTTCCAAGACTGTAGGAGAGAGTTTGGCATATGGTAGGTGCTTAATAAAGAGCCAGTAAGTATCTGAATACACAGGTGATGGATTCTTGGGACTGCTGATGTCGTGGTGGGCACAGGTGCTTGCTGCTGCCTCCGGCCAATGGAATATGTTGTTAGCAGCAATCAGCACTCTGGGTTCAGCTGAGGGTCATCCCAGAAGAAGAGAAATCTGATAGAAGCCGATCCAAAAGCTCTCCACCAGCACGGCCATTGTCTCACGTGGAAAAAAAATCCAAATCTTCAGGGACACAGTCTGGAGAAGTGTCCCAAAGAGAACTGTAGATCTACAGGTTGGGATATTGTTAAGAGGCTCTCAGAAAGAAAGAAACACAATCGGGTTTCCCTTTGTACTGTAAAGCTACAATCTGGAAACACTGCGAGGGATTAATGGTTTCTCTGAACCCAGAGCAGACACCTCAGCGTGGACTTCTTTTGTTTCTCTCAATCAAGACAACAGCTACTGTCCTCAAGTCAATAGAGACTGCATTTCTTGAGCCATCTTTCTCTACAGGTAGACCGGCTGTTCTTGCAGGAAGAGGCACACTCTGCCCCTTTGTGTCCCAACCAGCCTTCCAAGTCCCCTGTGCTCTGGTGGCTGAAGAATCAATTACGGGCACAGCAGGGAGCTGGCCTCAACCGAGGGACTAAGGTGGCCTGAGGGAAGCCCTCAGCCCCTCCTGTCACAAGGGATTCTTTAGGGTGCAAGGTGTCCCTAGTCTTCTCCAGCCACAGAGCATCATCCGTTCCATAGTAGCTCTGCAAAAACGCTGGAGCCAGCCCCGCGAAACCTCTCCCAGAGTCTGAGCAACAAGCATTAGCGAAGGAAACCAAAGCCACGACTCATCCATGGCCAATCAAGGTGGAGGTTGGAGAGAGGCTGAACACTTCCTGAAATTCCTACCTGGAGAGATCATGCCCTAACCTGAAGGTAAAATGGCAAGATTTGGTCATTCTTGCAAAGTGTTTGTTGAAGGATTCAAAGACCTCCTTGGAAGGCTGTCCTGTTGTTTCTAAGTCTGGATTCCATCTACACTGATGAATGTGAGCTCTAATCTGATAATCGGCTGTCTCATTGTTTCATTCTGGTGCCTTGGCCTGCAGGAAGAGGGGTGGGGCGAGGTGACCCACAAAGAGTCAAGTGGCAGCTGGTGTGGAAGGCCCCACAGGCCCCTCTGCTTGCCACGCATGTGAGTGTCTGGAAACCTTCCCGATTCCCTGGGACACGGCATGCCTCCTCCCCTTCTCCCAAATGCACCAAGTACTTCCAAAATGCACATTTTCTTCCTCAGGCTGATGCTTCGAGTGGAGAAGAGAGAATTAAAATGAAAAACTCAGCCCAACTCTACGCTTGCCAGGTTTTTTTTCTGGCTTTCAACATTTCTTTTTAGAGCAGGAGCACATCCAGGAAACCTCCCCTCAGAGCCCCCAGGCACCACTCTCCCTGCAGAGGCCAGCAAAGGGCTGGGGGACTGAGGCTGGTGGGGGGGGGTGTCATTCCCTCCCAGGGGACCAGGTCATTTGTGCCCCCCCCCACTTTCTTGCAGGAGCCCCATGCCTTCCCACCTCTTGGGAACCAATGAAACAGTTTGGAATATGCTCTGCTATCCAGATGATTTCTCCACGTGGACTGTGGCATTTGTCAGACTTGCCTACTTTCCAGCAAGATCACAAATTTTCCCCAACTCTGTTGAACAACATGGAGAACTACATATTTGTTGGCTGAGAGAGTGAGGAGGGCGGGAGAAAAGACTCAAAGGATACTCATCGCATGCTCAAAGTCCAACAGCAGTTCTGTCTCGAGTAAGGCAGAATTCACCACTGCCCTTCGGAGTCTCAGAGGAGACTGTTCTGGCTTCTGAATCCTTCTCCAGTCCCCAGCTGATAGAACCACTGCCCCTTCCCCTCAATTCCTCTCTTCTCTGAACTACAGTTCCCCAGCACGGGTAGAAACACCTGAGTTCTAATACCAGCCTCTGTGTCCCTTCGGTATCCTCTCATTTCCTAAACCTTTGTTTTTTCCATCTGAAATGAGGGGATTAGACTAGATCAGGAAAGGGGGAATGTTTTCTCTCACATGTCAAGTCTAACCAGGAGGCGGCTTCCTGGAAAGCCAGTGTGGATACCTGTTCTGAGGGCCTATGTGAGGACAGCATGCAAGAGCCATGTGATTGATTAGTAATGTCTGCCACTGGCATGGGAATGGGTGTTTTGTAATATACACCAAATATTCGCCATCCTTGAACTCTTTGCTCTCAACTCTCCTTCCAGGTCTGACATCTGATGACTCTTCACGTTCGTCACTTATACCCCAACACCTTTATCACTCGGTACTTAATTATATATCATCTTGTGCTTTCTTCCTCACTGCTAGATGTGTACGCATCTTTCTTCCCTAATGGGACTCCGGATTCTTGGAGGGGGCACGACTAGAATGCCTGATAGAGAACCGAATTCACAAAGTTGATGCTCAAAAAGGTATGAACACACTGATGGACTGATTTCCTGAAGAAGACACTGATCCTTTCAGATGCTAGTAAATAAGAGAGAGCTAGCAACTCTCTGACTATTGGGACTCCGTCCCCTCTAGGGGGCCAAAACACTGACATGGCTTCTACCTGGGGAGAGGAAGAGGGAGAGGAAAAAAGTGGAAGAGAAAGAGGAAGAGGTGGAGAAGAAGAAAGGATGAGAAGGACGTGGAGGTAGGGGAAGGGGAGGGAGGGAAGGAGGAAGCAGGAAGAGAACATACTGCCCCTTGCTCCACTATTCGGTGGGTTAAATGGGGACCACAAAACAATGAGCGGATAGAAGGGACTGATTGAACTGATGCTGCAAGAGGCCCTTCCCTTACTATTTCTCACCATGGTTTAAAAATGATCCCATGGCGATGCCTCGTTGTGACATCCTTCACAACTGCAGCAAAGCAATCCTCTTTCCTTTACATGAACCGTATCAGATCTGGGGAGTCCCTCTGCGTCTTTGTGGAGGCCAGACACTAGAACAAACATGGCCGTGGCATAAGATCCATCTAGCCGGGTCCCTCAAAGCTCATTTGACCATTTAATATTTGCTTGGTACTAATTGAATTCTCTATTTCAAAGGACTGTTCTAATCAGAAAAGTGCAATGATACATAGAGAATGCATTTCTATTTATTTACATGCAGGGATGATATTAATGCACTGCTGATATTAGCCACAAACACAGATATTTTAAATAGAACATACTCCCGAATCCTACTGAAACATTGTAGCTCAGGCCTTCAGGCAGCAATAAGGAGGAAAGAAAGAATTGTTAATGCATAATAGCCATTCCAGCCCAGACCAAACAACACCAGAGAAAATTCTCAGTGTCCCTTATTCAACTTCCATCTTTTTTACGTAAATTGTAGAACTAAGACATCGTGAAATTTCACTAAGTCATTTGGAGGAAAAAAAAAAACAAACAAACATCAAAACTCCAGTCTATGCACAGAAATAGCAATCTGACTGCACAAATAAATGATAAATTTGCCTGACTGCGTTGAAATTCAATGCAATAAAAGAAAGACCTTCAAAGAAGATAAGGTTTTAACTGCATCAAAAGGTTCCTGTGCAAAATGGATCATTCAAATCCCCAGAATGGCACTTGCCACTAATTAGTTCTGTTAGGTCTTTTGACATCAAGTTCAAGGAGTCTCTGCTAAAACTTCCAATTTATGAAATGCACTTGTAGGCAACCTAAGGCAGCTATTCAGATTACATTAAGAAAACGTGTTGTTGTCCATGTCCCTGTGGCAATTTTCATTTCTCGAACGTTACAGGGTAGCAACTGATACGATTCAAGGGTAGAGGAGGCTGGTTTGTGCAGAAAGGTTAAGTAACTAAAAATATATGTAAATGTTGCTCCCAGGGAAAGAGGAGGGGGTGGAAAATGATAAACACAAGTTTCTGGAGAGTGTGAAGAAAAGGGGAATAGCTGATGGGGGTCTCACGAAGGGGGTATTTTACCAAGACAAACAGGATAAATATAGCTAATTAAAGTGAAACACCAGAGTTTTCCTCACACCGTGTACAATTGTGGGGGGGAAAAAATCTCCAAAGGAAATTTTGATTTTCAAGTGGCATAAAATGGGACAGGGAGGGGCGCCTGGGTGGCTCAGTCATTTAGCGTCTGCCATCGGCTCGGGTCATGATCCCAGGGTCCTGGGATCGAGCCCCACATCGGGCTCCCTGCTCCGCGGAAGCCTGCTTCTCCCTCTCCCACTCCCCCTGCTTGTGTTCCCTCTCTCGCCGTGTCTCTCTCTGTCAAATAAATAAATAAAGTCTTTAAAAATTTTTTTCAGTGATACCAGTAATTTCTTTGGAGTAGATACTATGTCTACTTCATCCTTACAAGACACCTATGCTGTAAATGAGTATTCTTGTATTAAGGATGGGTAGATTGACAGATTAAGAGACTTATTGGAGGTCAGATATCTGGGACATAATGGAACTGGAATCTGATCCTGGGTTTGATTGTATTTGTTTTGGGGGTTCATGGACTCACTAGACATTCTGTGGAACCCCGGAAAGCCTTTTTAAAATTCAACTGTAAATCTTTCCAGGGAAACCATTAATAGCCTTCATCATCTTTTCATTGAGATCTACACTGAGATCCTGTATCTTCCTCCCAAATTTCAAGAGCTTGTCTATCATTGAAAAAAATAAGATTTAGTCATAACAGGGGCGCCTGGGTGGCTCAGTCGTTAAGCGTCTGCCTTCGGCTCAGGTCATGATCCCAGGGTCCTGGGATCGAGCCCCACATCGGGCTCCCTGCTCCGCGGGAAGCCTGCTTCTCCCTCTCCCACTCCCCCTGCTTGTGTTCCCTCTCTCGCTGTCTCTCTCTCTGTCAAATAAATAAATAAAGTCTTTAAAAAAAAAATGGGACAGGGGGAGAGAGGAGAAGAAGGTTCTTATACTCATTTTTATATTCATTTTTGGGAACGATGATTAAATAGAACAAATTTTTGTCAGTATATTTATTTTTAGGTATCATTCAGTTTTTTAGGAATGATAATTAAATAGAACAAATTTTTGTCAGTTCTTATATTCATTTTTAGGATTGAGGAGTAAATTGAACAAATCTTTGTACATTCTTATATTTATTTTTAAGGATGATAATTAAAATGAACAAAACTTTATAAGATACCTAGGGGTAAAAAACAATGAAACAATTTACTATATTCACAAAGGTGAAAAATAAAGCATACACAGACACACAAAATGACAATTTCTGAGCTTAGGCTAGCAAAACTTCATAGTTCCACAGATGGGAACGTACATATTTATAGGAGTTCTTCTGATTTCCTCAAAATTGATGGCTTCTATGTTTAAAGCACTTGTAGATTTTTCAACAATGATCTTCAAATAAAAGGATATTTAGAAAGTAGAATCTTTGCAAAATAGGTGAGGGCTGCCTTTTTTAAAAAAGGAAAATAACTTTCATGAAGTTCTGCTTACCTGGAAGACTCCACAAACCAGAAACTTCCAGAGTTCTTAATTTTTTCTCCAGTTCAGCCACCCGATTCCCTAGGATTCTGGAAAATGGGAGAAAATGACAACAGACAAATTAATGAGCATCTCATCAGTTCTTGGGGCTGTGAGCAAGCTACTCGGGGACACCCCCTAGAGTGCCCTGATAGAAAATGTTTTGAGATTTAAAGTATATGCAGAAAATATACTGCGTGTGCATGTGCAAAGAATATATATGTATAATATATAATATATTATACACACACACTCTATTGAACGTACATATGAAAATATACAGTGAATGATTAAAAAAAATATTAAATGTTGCCATTTAAGTGAGTCCTCTCCAAAAAAGGAGGGGAAGCTAAACAATTATTCCATCATTGCCCAAACGTCTTACACAACTTCTATTTGGGAATTGCTCATTGCTAAAGATTATCATTCATTTTGAATGCCCTTAGTAGTATCGCACCTGATTCTTTGAGGATGTATCTGAGTTCTGGAAACCACCAAGTCTAACCAATAAGATGGGTGAACACGCATGGTAAAGTTGCTTTGAGTCAATAAAATAATAAGATCTGCCTTCTTTGACCTAACCTATGTCTTACTGATATCCATATCCCTGATACCTAGCAGAATGCCCAGTTGATGGTAGGTGTTCAATAAACATATTTGATTAAAGAAAATGCTTTCCTTCTTTCAAGGCTTGCAATTATCTATGGACAGAATGAAGAAATAGGCCTTTCAAAAGAACTTCCAGCAATTGCAGAATCACTAGAAGAATTATATTGCTTTCCAAGGTGACCATTCTGACCCACTGGGACATAATTTCTGGAACATGTATCTGAAAAGATTATAACGTTTACTTGGGAACCAAACCTTGTCTGTATGCATGGGAAGACATAAACGTGGGCATGTATTTCCCCTCTTCCACTCTACACAAAATTAAACATAGTTGGGAAATGATTTCATAGTCATCTCAAACTTGAATCACTTTCCATTGGCCTGGAAATTGAAAAACCAGTCTTTATATTATTTGGGGGATTTTCTTGGTGCTGTCATGCTAAAATGATGCGGAAATCACCTTAATAGCAAAGTTTCAATTCCTTTCAGCAGGAGAAATCAGAATGCTAGAATTGTTCTCCTACCTCTCCTTATATTCCAGAGATAGCTGCACACACCCACATACATACAGAGGCATGAATATGTATATAGCTGCACATATATATATGGCTTTGGATTCATCCTTATTTTACCTGAATTGACTCGCAGCATCTTAATTAATATTCCCTTTGAGCTCCCAGAAAACTCTGACATTACTACATGTGGTTTTCTTCACCTAGGTACGTGGAGCTTTTCTTCTTTTCCTTAAGTCTTAAATTCTGCATAGTCTTTATCAATTACTTTCAGTTGCCACCCTATTTGTTGGGTCTATTCTGCTTTCATATCCCTGACCCTTCAATAAACACCATTCTTCGTAATCTCGCTTTCAATATTTTGCTCAGACCTTCTGATCCAAGCTCCCTTTTCACCAGCTGATGGGTTTGAGATGCAATCACAGCAGAGTTCAAGTTGATGCCTGTTTCTTAACGAGATCAGATCATCTGTGTGTGGCTGCCTCTTGGAAACAAAAGATAAGGCTTAACTCTTCTGTGTACGTTGACGGATGCCATTAGAGCAATGTTCAAAGGCATGGTGCAGAGACATTTGGTTGCTTTTTTTTTTTTTTTTTTTACACCCCCTGATGTTCCCGGATAACAGAGCCTTGTCTCCCAGAAATGGACTGCGGTGAATTTGCTAGTGTCCCATACTTTGAGGGACCCTGCCTGTTTGTCAGCAGTGACTGCTCTCTTTGGGCTGATGCAGGCATCTGATACAGAGCTGGAGGTAATAAAATGGGTCCAGTGGGAATTGTGCTAGGAGTGATAGTAGCCACAACATTATCCAGAACAACAGCAACCACACTACTGCTAACATGAACAGCGAAACTAATCTTTCCTGAGTCCTGGCTATGAGTCAGAGCTCATGCTGAGCACCTACTGAGTTTACATGATCTCATTTGACCTGACAAAAACCCTGCAGTGTATGTTGTATTATTATCCTTTTACAAATGCGGACCCCAAGGAACAGAGAGGTTAAGCAACATGCCCAAGGGCACACAGTTTATCTCCAAGCTGTGTTTTTTGCTGACCCCCGGTGCTCTCATCCAGCCCACTCTACTCCTCCCACTGGGAAACACAGGCATGGAAATTAGTTAACTTGACCAGAACCACAAGCAGGACTCAGCTGGTGATGACTCTGGATCTGAACCTACAACTCCGTTTGCTGCCAAAGTGCACGCTCTTAACCAACACCTCACAATGGCACTTTAAAACAAGCATCCTTGTGTCTGGAGCAAGAACTCTTTAAAAACTGTTCATAATTGAAATGTGGATGCAACTGGGCTGACCTGTATGATGGGACCCAAGATTCTTCAAAAGACAAAAAGACTTCCTGATGGGCTTCATGCTGGACAAATATGGCAGGTGGTCCGCAGAACGTGGGGTGGTGCAGCCCACGGAGAGAGGACAGTAGGCATTGAGGAAGGCAGTAAACATAGGAACAGGGTCCGCTGAATTCAGTTTGACCAATTCAGCACACAATTATTGAGGCTGTAGGGGATAATGAAGAGAAGCAGCCTGTGTCCTTGTATTTGAGGGACTAAAAGTCTGGTGGGAGGACAGATGTGGACATACAGACACACACAGACACATAGGTACAGAGCCTGTCAAAGGTTTGAATAGTATCTCTCAGTCGCCTGTTCTCTAGCAGGTATTATTCTAAGCACTGCCCAGATAGTATCTCCTTTACCCCTTGCAACAACTGATGAGGGGGCCTTTAATATGCTTAGTTTGTGGATGAGGGAACAGAGATTCAGAGAGGTCAACTAACTTGCCCAGGGCAACACAGCTGCTAAGTGGAGGGTCCGGAACCAAAACATAGGCCTGAAAGTATACAAGTACTGCAGCAGAACCATAGAGTGGAAGCGAGACAAATGAGAGATGAATCCAGAGTGGTTTTTAAGGACCCAGATCGTGAATGACCTTATTGCCCTGTTCAGACTGGTGAGGCTTTCATGCATTGGCAACGGTGAGAGATTGGAAGGGTTTAAGCAGAGAAGCAGCATGATGACATTTAGGAAAAGTATTCTTGATGTGGAGTGGAAAACGGACGGGAACGAGTATGAGGAGAAGCAGAAAGACCAGTCAGGAGGGTAATGTCCAAGTCAGTGATGGTGGTGGCCCCAGCAAGCCAGGGGGGGACGTGGGAAGTCAGCCGAATGGAGTAATAATACCGAGGTAGGTGAGGAATTTGAGGTGCCCACGGGATATCCATGGAGACAGCTGGCCACGTGGGAGAAGGAAAGTCTGGGAATGCAGAGATGGGCATGGAGGCTGGGAAGTGAGTCTGCTCACCAGCAGAGTGTGAGAAGTCAGAAGAACAGGACCCTTGATTACCCCTCGTCTAAGGCAAGAAAGGACCAGAGAGGAACAGCTGGCCAGGGAAGAGGAAAGCCAGGCCACGTGGGGCCAGGAAGCCAAGGGGAGAGAAGACCCAGGTGAGACGGTGGGGCCAATGGTCTTATTCTAGAAGGTGGTCACACTGGATGAAAAAGTCCACCTACAAGACATGCCTGACCCTTGCGAGAGATGTTTCAGGAACAGTGGAAGGGGTGAAACCAAAGAATCCAAGCGACAGGGTTGGGAGAAGCAGACTAGGGGCAACCATAAGCAGGGAATACAGATGACTCTTCAAGTAGTTTAGCAGAGAATCGAAGGAGACAGCTAGGGTGGTAGCTTGAGGCATAAACAGGTTTGAGAGAGGATTTTTTTTTTTTTTTTTTTTTTTTGGTAGGAGGGGGCAGATTTTACAATCAGGTTTTTATTTAGCTACAATTTGCTTTAAGAGGGATTTCAGCATATGTCTACCTAGCAGTCTAGGAAAATCCTCAAGATGTCAGGCCTCCAGATAGATTTTCAGTAGTAGTTTCTGATAGTAACAACGTAAGAGGGGATCCGAAAAGACAGACCTGACTCGGGAGGTGGCCACCACCGTGTGTCCGCTCCTACTCCCCAGACAACACGGGAGCAGAAATCCCTGAGTGAGGATCCTTGGGGAGAGCCTGGTCCTCAAGATGTGATTGGCTCCACCCTGTCCCCACCTCCACCCCGGGTGGCCTTCTTTTGACTCGTTCCTCTGGTCCGTGACAGTTTACGCTGCTCCCAATATCTTGAACTTCCAAGCTATTTACCATTGGCTGGGGGGTGGGGTGGGGGGAGAGCAGTAAACAGTGTTAGCATGGCAGGAAGGGCAGTGAAAGGCCAGTATATCTTCAGGTACCCACCACCACCACCAGCACCAGCACCCTACCACCAGCAAAGTGTTGACCGGAAAACTAAATGGGGCGTTCAGTAAAACAAGATTTCAACACCTGTCTCTTCTTTTTTTTTTCCCCAAAGATTTTATTTCTTTATTTACTAGAGAGCAAGCGAGAGAGAAACAACATGAGAGGAGAGAGGGTCAGAGGGAGAAGCAGGCTCCCCGCCGAGCCGGGAGCCCAATGTGGGGCTCGATCCCAGGACTCCGGGATCATGACCTGAGCCGAAGGCAGTCACTCAACCAACTGAGCCACCCAGGCGCCCCAACACCTGTCTCTTCTATGACTGCTTTGCTACCTGTTGGTAAATCACAGGAAGCTCATCCCTTCTTTAGCAATAGTCAGACAACTGCCAACTCTTTGGCAATGAGTACCTCAAGCAAAATGCCCAGTACTTGCAAATCCTCTCAAAAAATAAAGTCCCATGTGGATTCATCAGTTCTTCAAGATGGCTCCCACTGGGCCCTCTCAAGGGGAGGGGGGGGTGTCAGGCGGCGGAAAGCCAGTAGGGGGAGCACAGGCTTACAGAACAGAATACCTTTATTCTCACTTAATAATGCTCCACCAACACAAAACTACTGTATTATTTTAGCTACAAAAGGCTAAGTCAAGGGGGATCACAGTAAGCAGACCGAATTCAGATTCTATTCCTAGCCCCCACTCCATGTGTTGTATAGTTTTTTTTCACATGCCCCCAAATAAAACATTTATTGAAAGTATGAAACCGAAGACCTTCTAAGTTTTAAAAATGGCACATTAGGTACTTTATGTACTGATATGAAGCAATCTTTAAGATCTATTGTTATGGGGGGAAAAAGCAAGGTACAGAACAGCAAAAAAAAACGCTTTTTGGTGAATACTTGCTACCATTTGTAAGAAGAAAGAAAGAAAGGAAGAAAGGAAGAGAGAAAAGACTATATTTATACAAGTATACATGAGTATTTATATGTGTCTGTGGAAATGCGTTATATGTTTCTTGGAAAGGGATACATAAGAAATAAGAAATAATGGTTCCTTCCAGGAAGGAGAATTGGGTGTCTGAGAGATGGTAGTAGTTTAGAGACACATTGATGTTTAACCTTTAAAAATTTGAACCATGAGATGGCACAAAATTATTAAATAATAGTTACAAAGGACAAGGTGCATTAAGACAAAATTAAACCTGAAAAAACAAAAACAAAAAAAGAAACCAAAATTAAACCTGGCAAAACATGTCTGTTTCTCAACGAGGGTGAGAGCCCACGGAGCCTGGGGGTGTGCTGGTTGCAGTAGGGTTATGGTAGGAAGGTGCTGGGAAATCAATGTGTCCTGAGAGGCGAGTCTCAGCCTGACGGCCTGGGGTTACTGAGTTGGGCAGGCAGCAGGTCTCTGCTTTAATGGTCCTGCTTTTTCCTGAAATCTGTATTACACTATATGTTAACTAACTAGAATTTAAATAAAAACTTGCAACAAACAAAAAAAGAAAAGTCCTGCTGTTTAGTGGAGGCTTGTGATGTGATCAGGACGGTGGCTGGCGGCTGAGGAGGGTCTGGGGGTCTGCAGTTGGAGGATTGACGGGAGGGTCTTCCCAAGGAAGAGGTGATAGTCTGGTGGGAACAAAGCAGAGAGGGCAGCTAGAAGATGTACACTGGAGTCCCATGACAAGGACCTGAACTATATATTGAATCCATGAAAATTGTAAAGAGTATTAAGGGAACAAGAAAAAGGAGTAGAAAATGATTCCGTCATCAATTCATTAAATAATCATAAGCACTTACTGTGGGCCCAGCACTGTCCTCTGTACTGGGAGAGAACAGCAATTCTAATGGACAAACGTTCTGGCCTTGGGACAGCTTCAACCTGCATGATGTGGAGGTTTGTTGGACCCGAGTGTCAGGATGGTGGGCAGAGCCCATTAAATATTCTTCAAGTCATGCCTGAATTATGGCTGCACAATATTCCATCTTATGGATTTACTATACCAGCCTCCAGCTTAAAACCACTGCAGGGGGCGTGCCTGGGTAGCTTAGTTGGTTAAGGGTCTGACTCTTGATTTCAGCTCAGGTCATGATCTCAGGTTGTGAGATCAAGGCCCGCATCAGGCTCTACGCTCAGCACGGAGTCTGCTTGAGACTCTCTCCCTCTCCCTCTGCACTCATGCATTCTCCCCCTCTCAAAATAAAATAAAACAAACTAAAATATAAATAAAAACATTTGGGTTGTTTCTGTTTTTTCCCCCTCTTACAAATGAATCCATGGTGAACACCTTATATGTGAATCTGAGGACATCATACTGATTTTTTTCTTTAGGATAAATTCCTAGATGCAGACCATGTGGGTCAAAGGGCAGGAGCATTTTCAAGGGTCTTAAAATGTACTAAGGAGTGGGTGGCCCAGTCTAGATTCCTTGACTGCGAAGAGCTGAAGGGAGATGGGGGAAATCATCAGCCTCGTAGTTGGAAATGTGGGTCCTGCTCTGGATGGCGGGGTGGGGACAAGAGCTCTGAGAAGAGCCTGCAGAGAGTGAGAGGCAACGATGGGGGGCGGGATGAAGCCTCCCAGGTGGGGTGAGGAGGGCAGAAGGCCTGGCGGAGACCTGGGAGGGAGGCGAGGGCATGAGGAGAAAGTCAGCGGAACCCCAGGAGATGAGTGCAAGACGGGAATTGGGATGCAGGGAAATCAGAAAAGAAACAGACTCAGAAAGTGCGCTGTGCGGGTACTGGAGACCCTCAAAGGAGGACTCTGTGAAAAATCTGGGAAGAGGTCTCGGGAGGTGTTGAAGCCCAGGTGGTCTTTCTTTCCTGCATATGGCATCCCCTGGGGCTGGTTCAGATCCAGAACCCTGATGTTCCCTCCAGAAAACCCCCCTGAATCTGCATTTCAAAATCAGTGTCTCTGAGTGATTCTGGCACGGGTGCCCCCCCCGGAACACACTTTGAGGTGGCGGCTGTTGAAGAAGTAAAGGCGGCCTTCTTGTTCACAAAGATGCTGGATGAATGGAATTCAGGGGGAGCTGCAGAGGAAAGGCTTTGGGGGTTCAGGGAGCTCCGTGTGGTTTCTGGATGAAGAGGCAGGAGCCGGGGTGGGGGGAGGGGGGTTAGGAGTGGAACAGGCGGGAAGAGTTGCTCACAGGGGAGCCAGGCCCAGAGGAGGGAAGATGCTGTGGACCAACAGGATGGTGGGCCGGTGTGTTTCCCAGAGCCAGGAGGCTGAGGCTGGAAGGCACTGGTTCCAGGGGAGGGTGAGCCATAGGGTTCCTGGTGAGGAGCGTCTATTTTCTCAGTACAAGAGCAGCTGAGGTTTCCTGCTGACAACAGACTAGGGTTTAGAAGACCTGAGAAGTTTTGAAAGAGCCCCAGTGGTGCTTTATTGGGAGTCAGTGAGGACAAAGGAGGCTCAGGCGGAACACTCCCGGCTGGATAAAATAGACCTCGTACCTATTCTGGGGAGATTTCCATTTCTTCTCCCTCCCCTGAGAAGTATCTGCATTTTAGCACCTGATTGTTTCACTCCTTGGTTAAGCTTTCTTTTAAAAGAATTTTAAAAACTTCTTCTGTCAATAAGTTACCCTTGTCATCCTTCTGAGTTTGTCCAGACTCCCTCCACCGCTCCCTGCCTTCTTGTATATATATCTTAATCTCCTGCGGGGTCTTCCCCTCACTCCCGGCTTCTCTTTTTTCCACTTTGTTTTTACAACACTCTCAATCATTTTCCAGTGGCCTCACTCCCTGTGCCCCTCCCCCTCGCCAGGACCCCGATTCCCTCACCCCTCCCCTCCTTGCTGGAAGCCCAGCTTTTCGGAGCCTGCGCGCTTCCACACCTTCATTTTGGTGCTGCGCGTAGGTTTTATAAGCAGGACCAGCTACATAATTTGGGGGGCCCACCGCAAAATGCAAATGCAGGCCTCCTTGTTTAAAACGGATCAAGAATCTGAAGATGGCGACTGTGGAGTTCCGGACCAAGGGCAGGGCCCTTCCAAGCACGTTCGCTTGCCCTCAGAGCCAGCCCTGTTTGCGACGTCTGTTGCCTTAACTTATTGTTTATTCACCATTCTCTGAACACCTCCAGTTTTGCGTGTGTCTCTGATGGCTACTTTAACTTGACTCTGCCCCACCTAGTCGGTATGTTTATAAAAACCAAGGAAGACCTCTATTTGAATTGTTCTGTCCCACCACCTTTTTTGCTCCTGTGGAAGAGTGACATGACACTCCCTTGTAGGCCCAGCTGCCTTGCTTGGCGTTCCTCCTGGTCAGAACCCCTCATTGTCATGCTGTCGGTTAAGATGGCACGGAGGAGGTGCCGCCCCTGAAGGAGACCCGCAGGAGAGATAGGGTAAGTTACCCGAGCAATGGTACTGTCAAAACGGCCCGTGCCATCTGCACTCCTCAGTGAGGGGCTCGGAGTAAGTGTTCAGTACGTAATGGCTGGTAGTATTCTCCCCCTCCCCCACTCCGGCAAATGGCTAAGATGCTGTCATAATGCAGACACATCATTCTAGTTTAAGAAGTGTCCTTCCAGACTTAAGGGCTCCCTCCCCTCCCCAAAAGGCCTACAGTCCCACCTGGCTGCCACCAGCCAGCATCCCACATTTCTCCCACCCACCACCCACGAAGGGTCCAGCTACCTACTTGTTGGTCTGCCTCTGGTGCTGGATGACCATGTTTTTCTCGTGGATTGTCTCCAGCAGGGCCGTTGCCAGAGATTTCAGATCAGAAATGGACTGTGGAGTAGCTGGGAGACTGCACCCGTGATCTTCAGATAACAGATCCTGAACTAGGTGGGATATAAAGTTTATAGCTCAGTCTTAAGTCCTTCTGGAACACTGCAATGCAAACCAACGTCTGTTCTTCCTGGATAATGAAGCTGGGATAGGCTCCCCGCTTCTAAATGCTATGATGTTGTATTGAAGAATCTACTTCGGGTGTCAAAATAAAACAAAATAAAATTCAGTGTGAGGGTTGAGCAGAAACGAGGAAGTTCTCATGGACGTTTATCACCAGTTTTTTAAAGGGATAATAATCTTTTGCATTTGTCCATTATTTTACCCTTTCAAAACACTTTCATACTAACTCATTTGAGGTCCAAAATTAAAAAAAAAAAAAAAACCCACCTGGGGAGTATTATTTATTCCCATTTCATGGACAGGAAAGCAAGGCACTGATGGATTAAAAACATCAGCTGAAGGTCACACAGCCTTGCAAATGGCGATGACTCTGGTCCCAAGCTCCTTGCTTTGTGACAGAGTTTCCTACAGTGTGGTATGCTCGGTGGGTGGCAAGATCACAGGGACATTATTTAAAATACAAAATATATTTTGTGTCTGCATGTTTTTAGAAACTACAAGTTACCACAAAAAAGACACCATTTGTACTCCTATCAGACAGAAAAAATTAAATCTCTCACTAGATCTTTGAACATCATTTTCTATATGCCTATACATAGATATACAGATTCATACATTTTTTCTTCTGAAATGGGAAAAAGCTCTTCTTTTTTCGCTTAACCCTATTCCTCATCATCAATATCTCCTAAAACATAAAATGTAAAGGCAGCTTGGGAGCCCATATAGAGATACAGAATAATTTATTTAATTTCTGCTGGACATTTATGTTACTTCCTATGTTGTTTTTTTTCTTATAACTAATGTAGGAAGAACTTTCCTCAAGCAGCATGTTTTCATACATTGGTAATTATTTCTTGTTGCTCAGAGGGGATGAGTTCAAGGTTTTTCAAAATAAGTTGCCGGAGGGTTATCCAGAAAGGCTGGGTTATCCAGAAGGCCGTTGCGGGCTTACAGCATGGCCTTTGAATGTGGCTGGCATTCCCCACGTCAGTGATAAGACTGGGTCTCGCCATTCAAAGATGTTTGGCTGTCAAGGGTATCGAGAGCTAAACTCACATGGGCTACTTCACATTTCTGTGGAGTATTGTGGTTTTCTATTTAAAAACAATTCTAGGGTATCCTTTTCTCAGTTGAGTGGAAAAACAGAAGTTGCTTGTAAAAATGCCTTGGTTATTAGACTGGCTGGAGATTCAGCACTTTTTTTTTCCCCCTAGCCACTCCAGCTCTGATTAAGACTCCCGCATGCTCGTTGCTGGTCTGCGTGGCCGACAACCCGAAAGTGGGCCAGGTGAGCATGTTCAACCTGAGGCTTATGCTGAGAACTGAATTCCCAAATAATAAGTGTCAGAAGCAAGCTCTCTGCTATTTATTCCCCTGGACTGTTCCTGGAAGATCATTATTTTTCATCAGAATCGACAAGAAGGAGGAACAGAATTGCAATCAATAAAAGCTTCTTTGAAAAAGGCACATGTTCCATGATAAAATGATTTCAGCAGCTGTGAGACTTTTCTATTCTGGTCACAGAGGCCAGAAAAAGGAGAAGCTCGGCGAGGCTGGAACATGGACCCAGGGATGCTAAACTGGTGATCAGAGGAGGGAAAGCGCTCTTGAAGGAAGAGCACAGGATAGGGGACCAGATGCGAAGGGGGTCCTGTTATTAGAAGGACATCTAATGTGTCTGTTCTCAAAGCAGGATCCCAGAACAGGCATCAGCAACATTTGGGAACTTTTTAGAAATGCGTATTCTCTGGGGCCCCCCAGACCTACTAAATCAAAAACTGTGTGTGTAGGGGGCAGTAATCTGTGTTTTCAAACAAGCCCTCCAGCCAATGCTGATACAGATGAAGGTTTGAGAAGGGCTGTTCTAAGAACCACCTTGGCTCCCCACCCACAAACGGAGATGCGGAGCCCGAGCTCCAGCATTCTGTGGTCCTAAGCAGTCCCTCCAGAGAACAAACCCTACCTTGCTTTGCAGACAGGACTCCAGTCAGCGCACTGCTGCTAGATTTACTCTGGCCTTTTGAGTTTTTCCGTCTCTCGAGAGCATTCTAATGTAGCATTGGGAGAAAATACAAATCTCTATCAAAAAAGCCAAAAAAAAGAAAAAAAGAAAAATACCTACTTAGAGTAGACGCACCCTCCCATCGGGCACACAGGAACCCTTGGCAAATTCCAAATGCTGACCCAACTTTTAAAATTCCACATCCCTGCCAAAGAGTTATGAAATTTATGGACCTGGTAGAGAGTTGTTGTTTTTTTTTTTTAAAGTTGGCGCCCAGCAGAATGACAGCAATTACCTTCTCCTATATATAAAAGGCACTCAATGCGTATTCATTAAATTAAATCAAATCTCAAAGCAAGAGCTCCATCAAATGTGTGAAGTCACTAGTTATGGAAACCCCTTCTGAATAGACATGAGATGGAGAACAGGTTTCCTTTCATTTGCCGATGCCAAGAGATCACTATTGGTCTTTGGAAGGCTTCCGTTGCTGGACTGAAAAAAGCCAGGACCGATGAATGATGTCTGCCATGTACACAAGATTAGGAGGTGCACAGGCGCCCACCAAAGTACCATTCCTATCACAGACCCTCACATTACAATTGATATGACTGTGTAGCCAGTGCTTGGCACGTTGAAGAACCAAGTAAAGGCTGTTAAATGAATGCATACACACATTTTTTAAATGCATGTATTAATTATACAACTTTAAAAGCTGCATTCTTCTGTGGCTCCATGTGTATATATAGACTGGCATAAAGTGTGGCCCCCGCAGCATGGAAAAGGAAGAACAGCATAGAGACTTCGGAGAAGAAAAGCTAACACCAGAAGCCAGGAAAACGAGAAGGTTCTCCCAAGCATCTAGACTGCTATAAAACTTTACCCTCAGGAAGAGAAATCAATCTATTTTCAAAGCAGAGAAACCCAGGAGATGCTTCTAATTATAACGCTCACAACGAACATCTGCAGAAATAGATATTATCAAACTAATGGGGCTGGAATGAGTCTAAACAACAGTGGGAGAATTTAAACGTTCTGTCCTTTCAGTGTGACGTGAACATTCTCGCTCACATTGTGATTTCCCAATCTTGGTTTCTTCTTGTTGCTCGGAAACCATTTTCTTACGGATAATTATGAGACAAATAGCGTCTGATGATGGAACATTTTCTAGAGAAGCCAATAGGACGCCTGATTCTATGTGGACCGAGGCTGTGAAGTGGCCACGTCCAGATCCTGGAAGGCCCCGTGTGTGCCCTGTCCAGGTGACAGCAACAAGGATGCTCTTGCAAAAGCTATTTTTGTTGTGTTTGTTGTTTTGGGCTTAATTCCTCCTGGTTACCTCAGTGAAAGCTCTTACTCTATCCAGGAGAGCAGGCAAGCACTCAAATGTCTTTGGCACATAAAAGGGAATTAAAATAGAATGGCATTTAGATGTACAATAGTGAATCATTACCAGCATCATCACGATTCTCTACCTTGTACTTGGCGATGTTTGATTTCAAGAGGTTGACCTCTTCGTGGAGTTGCTTTAATCGCTCTTGAAGGTACCTAGGAAAGAAAACATGCAACTAGGAAGTGTTTGGGAGCAAAATAAAAAACATACACGCCAAGTAGGAGAAGAAAAAAAGAAAACAACCCGCCTCTAGAGTCACCAGGTACATACAATGCTTTCTCACCACCAAAAGGGGAGGAGAAAAGTGCATCTTGGTGACCTCTTCTTAAATGGAGACGATCAAGGTCAAATATGCCCAAATCACAGAAACCCCACTTTAGAACAGCCTTCTGCAGAGATCCCCTAAGGGGTCTCCACACAGTTTTCACATAATTCTCATTAAGATGATTCCACTGGGAAGGCAGGCAGGGAGAGGCGACACCAGACGTAACATTAAATTAGACACACACACACACACACACACACACACACACTGAAATTTGCCTCGGGGAAAAGAAACAGCTAAGGGAATTTCTCAATTTATTTTCTTATTCTTTCCCCTCTCCTTGATAGCAATACCAAGCAGCTTTCACTGGCTCCCTACCCTTCTTGCCCAACCAGGGAGTGGGGAGGGTAGGGGGAGAGAGAAAGGGTCAGTGAGGCACACATGCAGGTGTGTGGTGCTTCTTTTCTGACTTTTACAGCTAATACATGACGTTACTATCACCATTTTGGCGGTGGGACTTTCCTTCTAATGCAAGGCAAATGTAACTCGGGCTGCAGAGAACTCAAGGCCAGCATCCTGCCTGAGTGCATGTCCAGGCCTGGCCACTTGCCTGTTCTCCATACAGAGGGCGTCCACGTCAATGATGCGGTTCTCGTGCCCACCCAGGATATGGTTTAGCTCCTGGTTGAGCCTCTCCACTTTGTCCTGGTAGGAAGACCGTTCTTCTTTAACGTCCTGAAGTTCATCCACCGAGGCCTGCAGGTCATGCTCCAGAGACTCAATCTGAAACCAAGGAAGTGTCCTTACTTAAGATGTTCTTCAGACGTCATTTTATGGCCAGAGATGGAGGCTTCTGCTTGGCTGACCGACTCTGACAGAGCATATTCATCCCACCCGTGTATGCTATGAAACCACAAGCACCCACACGCTGGGTAAAAGCTTCAGGGAAGGAAGGAAGTCCCTGCCAGACGCTTGTGATGCCTAAGATTGGGCAGGGGCAGCAGCTTGGGAGCAGAACCGATCCCTTCCCAAGTGCAGCATGCCCCAAAGCAAGAGGCTCGGAGAGGGCAAATCCAGACACTAGCAATAGCAGCCGGGGTCTTGCATGTGCATACCTTCTCCAGCTACTCCAGACCCAGGAATCTTGTTCCGCTCTTCAAAACCAATTAGCGAGAGAAGGAAAATGAAGTTTAGGCTCTCTTCCCTGTTCCCTAACTAGGGCTCTGTACCCATTGAGATTTTGCCTAAAAAGCATCACTCAGCACTTCAGGAAACTTGCAAATGAAGGCCAGTTTGTCATGTCTTCTTCCTTTCCTGTCTATCCTGAGTAGGGGGAGGTGGATGTTTCTTATGTTCAGAGCAGTGGTACCCCAAACTAGGAGGGCAGACCTGCTGGAAGCAGGAACCACAAGAGGCCGCTCGGGAAGTAGCAGAGCAGGGAGAACAGAAAAGCATTCAACTCACACCCTCCTTCCGCCTCCACCTGGCATGCCAGGCACCTCGCCCTCTCTGAGAAACAGGGGGCACAGTCCAACGGTACAAACATATCCCCCACTCTTAACAGATGTTAGCAATAACCTGTTCCTTAGCTCTCTCCAGCTGCTGAACCAAGTCTTCACGCTCATGAGCTGCAAAGTGCCGCACGCCAATTTCTTCGTCTCCGAGCCTCTGCTTGGCAATTGTCATCCTCAAGAGCTGCATTTTCCATTAGTAGGAAAAGGGAGAGGGAGAGGGAGAGAGAGAGAGAGAGAATGTGTGTGTTAAAATGAATGGATCCAAACAAAAACCTGAGCGTATTAAGGCAGAAAGTTTTGGAAGGTAAGACTTTTCAAGAAATACTAAGGAAAGGCACAAAACAAAGAAACGTCATGTCAATATCATGAATTAAAAAAATATATATACAATATATATTGTAGTTTGTACACACATGCATATACCCCTATATGCATGCATACATAGTATAAATCTAACGGGAACGCCGGCCTGGGCATTTGAAGGTGGAGGTCCTTTGTAGTGTTACCACAGTGAAGAAAAAATGCTGGGTCTCTTTTACACTCAGCAAAAATAACAAAATGGTAATGCAATTTTCAGAAGCATCCAGTAAGATGGGCGTGCACTCCCACATCTTAACAAAGAGGCTACGTCATCAAGGGCCTTAAAAATGTCCCCACCAAAGATCCAGTAACCCCGTCTCTAACAATCTGGGCTAACAACAATCCCAGACATGCACTAGCTTGAGGAAAAAGAAAAAGTAGATTGTACTCTCATTTCCAGAAAGAGCTAGAGAACGAGAATGAACGTCTAACGAGAGCGGGATGGCTAGCAAAGTGTAGTGCAATCAATCAATGGGCTGGTTTGCAGCTGTTGGAAATAAGGGTGATGAACTGTGTAATAACACAGAACATGCTTATGATAGCATGCTAAGCGGGGAACAAAAAGCAGAAGACTTTCATTTGTAGTAAAACTGAAATTATACGAAGAACCGCGCACAAAAGAAAAAAAGGACCCAATACACCGCAATTTTTAAATGTGTGTGTTTTGGTGATGGTGAGACCATGTATGTTCTCTGTTCTGTGCTCTAACTTCTAACTTTTCAAATAAGCACACACGACTTTCATGACAGACTTTATCTATAGGTTTTTAAATGCCTATGGATAAAATTCCAGTCTTCAAAATATAATTTTCCAAAGGATCCCTGCAGAACCAAGAGCTGCCCCAGACTCTAGAGGCTCGCTCCATGTGCAACTCCAAACCGTCGGGTAGGGCCATGATGGAAACTGTGATCCCCGGAAGATCTGATGGGGCCAGAACAGCCCTTACGTGCCTAGCTCAGTGCCAAACGTGGCCACGAGACTGACTTTTTCAAGTTATGGCCCTGCTTCCTGATGCTTCTTCTGAAAAGGTTGTAAGCCTGATTCCCCACCTCCCTGTAGGGTGTGTGTGGATGGGCTTCGTAGATGGAGGACATCCTAGAGACAGATTTTTACGACCCAGCCAGCAATGCCTGCTTGGGGCATGCTCTTCCTCATTCCAACACGGATCTTAAGGGGTTCGTGGCCTGCAAAGAAAATGGATTTTCAAGTCTCTAAAGGATTTAGGGGCAGGTGAGAGAAAGACAGTTAAAAGCCAAGGTAGAATATTAACTAGCTTGAGACAACAAATACCAGCAATGACCACGGAAAACAATGGTGCCTAAAAACAGCAAAGAACATCTTCAAACGATATCTATTTTGGGTCTTTATTTGAAAACCACTCAACCGAACGTGACCAATATTTATTGTGCACCTACTATGCGCTAAAGCATCTGAGCAGACAATGCTCTGGGCAGCTTGTACAAAGGGCCGGCAGAGGACGTAGGATACTCAGGTATACAGACGGCTGTGCTTCATGGAATCTGAGTACAGTTGATCCTCATTACTCAAGGATCCCGAATGTGTGAATTTACCTACCTGCACATTTATCTGTAATCTCAAAACCAACATCGTGGCATTTTTGCATCATGGGCAGACATGTGCAGGTAAGTACAAAGTTGCAAATACGAGACTCATCCGACAGGAGCATTCCCAGCTGAGGCAGAACAAAGCAACGCTCTGCCTTCGTGTTTTAGTTCTCATACTGCAAACAAATGTCCCTTTCAGGGTCTATTCAGTGCCCTGTTTGTTCATGCTTTTGTGCTTTTTGTTGGTGTTTTGCTGTTTAAAATGCACAGTGCTGGAGGGATGTCTCGTGTTCCTAGGCACACGAAGGTTGTGAGGTGCCTGAGGAGAATACGCGCCAGGTGTGAGTTACAGTGCTACAGGCTCTGCGTTCAATGTTAAAGAATCAACAGTATAGGCTAAGTGAGATGGCTTTACACAGAAACACACATAAAAGAAAGTTCTGTGTGAATTGACTAAAAAAAAAATATTGTGACCAGAGGCTGTGAGGAACCTAGTCTTGCATTTCCCCTAGGAGCAATGGTTCAGTATTTGCTAATTCGCTGTTAGCAGAGAATTCAGAGAGCAGAGCTATCGAGAATAATGTGAATCACCTGTATTGGGGGGAGATGGAGTTTATGGCAGAACTGGTTAATTCGACTGAAAGCTGATGTGTGAAAACATCTTCTACATCACACAATTTCTTAGCTGAGAAACAGCTAAGAACCCCAAGTGGATATGCAGAAAGACAAACAGCTAACCAAATGAGAAACGTTTCTCAGATCAAAGGGTCCAGGAACGAGAGGGCTTGTGCCTTTTTCAGCATGAGGACAAAGGAGGCCTTTGACATGGTGTGGAACGGGGGAAGGGGGGGCGCTTCTCTTGATATGTGAAAACCAGACTGACAGCCTGAACTTGAAGTAATAAAACACTACTGTGGTTTCCCATGCACAGAACGCTTCACTGAACACCTAATTTAGAATCACACAATTATGTTTGTTTAACGCCAATTAATTATTAAACATGTTTATTGAGGTCTGACAGCCATATAAGAGAGTCATCTTTTATATGCCCGATGCCTGTTAAGCTTCAATAAATATGTTAACAATCATTTGGTGTTTAATATGCATACAATATTGCCTATTAAATTGCAGGGCTGGACTGCTTGAAACATTTATTTTTAAAAAGTGAGGCCCACACTGGTAATAGCTGGATCAATTAGTTGGTCAAACTCAAGTGCAACCAGTTGAAGGGGCCCAAGGAGGGGGTTGTGGTAGGGATGCGGCAGGAAGAGTTCTCCTGCCTTCCAGGGCGACAGCCTCGCAGGCTCTGCAGTCTGTCTTGGTTGGGGTCTGGGTCCTGGCTCCACAGTCTGCTGGTTGTGCAACTGTGCACAGGCCTGACCTTCCCTGAGCTGCAGTATCTTCCACTGAAGCAGTAACAGTATAGCTTCCGGGGGCGGGGGTGAGGGGGTGCAGGGAGGCTTGCTATGAGCATGAACTGAGGAGTGGAGTTGCTTTAAGTAAGCATTTAACTCAAGGGTTCAAATATCCATGCTTGGCAGAGAGATGCAGGAAGGTAAAAAGAGGGGAGAGAGCCACAGAGAAGAGAGGATGAAGCGAGCAAGATTTTTTAAGTTGGGTCACTACGCACCCCTGCTTTCAGGGTCCTGGACAGAGGGGTGTGGGACAGTGGCTGCTAATACCTTAAGACACAATCACATTGTTCATATTTATCCATACCACCCGGTTCGGGAACCTAAATGCCACATGCCCTGAGCTTTATGGACAATTTAAGGGACCATCATGGGGAACGGTGGTGAGACACGTTTTTGTCTCTCAAGTGCTGACTTCAGGACCTAATCCTAAGAGAGGAAGGGATTTTTCTGCAATGCTTAGCACAGCCCCCGGAACACAAAAAGTGTGCACCGTCAGCTGCGAACACGATTGTTGTTATGACTGTCATCATTGTCATCCTCCACGTGAGCGTCCCCATATATACACCCGCTGGGGAGATCCAGTCTTCCTTCCAAGCTGGAGGAAGCAGAGCTCCAGAGCCAACCTTATCTGTAGACCACAGGCAATGATGTTGATGTCCCACCTTGGAAATGGCTATGAAGCAACTGCTCGGGGCACTTAATTCCCCCAAACGGGGCCATCAAAACTCCACGGCCAGCCTCCCTGCGCCAGCCAGAGAAATGCATGCGAGGCGCATGCATGCCACCAATAGATGTATTCATTTGCTGATTTAGATGGAAATAAACGTTTATGAATGAATTATGGGTGTGAGTCGTCAGCTTATGGCTGAGGAGCAGCTGCAGCTGGGATGTGGCGGCGGGACGCGTCCACAAAACCACGTGGCCAAATGGCTCTTGGGTGCCCCTCCCCCACCCCATGGATGGAGTCCGACCCCTCTGTGGAGGCCCTGTTCAAACTCTGGTCCTCCTTGGGGGCCCCCAGTCGGAATGACTCACTCCCTTCCACGATCTCTTCTTAGGCTTCACCCCTCGGCCCTCCACATCCTCTCCTCATCCGGTCTTCGCTTGCCTGAACCCCTCTTCCCCTGTCGACAGTTGACAGGTAGCCAGGGGCAGGACCAGCTGCTATTCGCAGGTGTTACCTGTGTTCAGATCCCGATGCTGCTCATCTTCGTCATGCCACCTCGGCAAGTCATCTAACCTTGTTGGGCCCCAGGTGACATCTGTTTATCTGAAAATGGGGATTGTCTTAATCCATCCAGCCTGCTGAAACGGACTGCCACAGACTGATGGCTTCTAAACAACAAGTCTTTATTTCTCGCAGTTCTAGAGGCTGGGAGTCCTAGATCGAGGTGCCGAGAGGATGTGGTGTCTGCTTCCTGCTTTAGAGATGGCCATCGGCTTGCTGTGTCCTCATGTAGTGGAGGAGAGGACAGAGATGCCGGGGCCTCTTTTATAGGACACCCATTCCATTCATGAGAGCGCCCCCTCCTGACCCAATCGCTTCGCAAAAGCCCCACCTCCTGCTACCATCCCATTGGAGGTTAGGATCTCAACATACAAATTTGTAGGGGGACACAAATATTCAGTCTCTAAACAGTCCACCCCTGGCGCCCTAAAATTCATGTTCTTCTCACATACGTAACATATTCATTCCATCTCGACAGCCCCCAAAGTCTTAAGTCCAAAGCCTCACTGAAATAGCATCCAAATCAGATACAGGTGAGACTCCAGTATGATTCGTCCTGAGGGAAACCCCTCCAAGCTGTGAGCCTGTGAAACCAGACGATCTGTGTTCTTCC